AAGTGTGCATGCTGTAGTGTGCTAGCGGTGTGGCAGGACTGAAGAATGAGGACGGTTTGATCACACTGATGTGTAAAGAGGATTCCTTCATCAGTGTTTGAACACACACACACACACACACACACACACACACGCACACACAGTAATGGAGTGTGTTCCTGCTACAGTAGCTCTGCAGGTATATTAGTAGCTGTGTCGGTGTGCAGTTTCTCCTCCGTCTGCTGTTATTGATGATGATCTGGTCTCACCAGTGCCTCGGTCAGCAGCTCGGTGCGGTGCTCTGTGCTGAACTTCAGTGTCTCAGATTTCTTCCCGCTGCCCTTCCTGAAGGTGAGGCTGAACTCTGTGCCCTGACCCTTGCCCACCGGGGAGATGCTGCAGATGTCCCCGTACGCCCACTGACACACACACACACACACACACACACACACACACACACACACACACACACACACACACACACACACACACACACACACACACACACACACACACATTATTTGACCTCCTCAATGAGATGCAAGTCAAGCTCATCTTAATAACAGAATAACTGTGCAGAATATTGACATATGATTGGGAATATTGAGAGTTGTGTTGTGATGACAGCAGCCGGTGTTGATAATCTTACTATCCGACAGGACATATAATGCTCACATGATCACCTCAGTCAAATATAGAGGAATATAATGATGCTGTTCAGTATTCAGCAGTAATCAGACTCTGAACACAGCGCAGACACCGCACCTGGTTTGTAACCTCTAATGTTGTGGGATTGTATGTGGTGATGCCGTGAGTGCCCACCGAGAACACACGCTTGTACCTGAAACACACAAACACACACACTTATCAAACACTGATAGATCTGACACACACACACTGACCCACACACACGCTGCTGACCCACACTCACTGACCCACACACACGCTGACCCACACACTGACCCACACACACACTCACTGACCCACACACACTGACCCACACACACGCTGACCCACACACACACTGACCCACACACGCTGACCCACATACACACTGACCCACACATTGACCCACACACACTGACCCACACACACTGACCCACACACACGCTGACCCACACACGCTGACCCACACACTGACCCACACACACACACACTGACCCACACGACCCACACACGCTGACCCACACACGCTGACCCACACACACACACTGACCCACACACACTGACCCACACACTGACTCACAGCCTGCTGCTGCACTGAGGGAGGTGTTTGTGAGGATTAATCCAGCAAATGATGTGAACAATCACCAGACTGGGATATGATATACTGCTTGTGGAGCTCAGATGTGATCTAGTGTGTGTGTGTGTGTGTGTAATATTTGCACACATGAACAACACTCACTTCACAATGAGAGCAAATGTTCAGCTGTAGCTCTGGAGGTGTTCAATATGACTCAAGTGTACACTGAGGCGCTAGAGAGCGACTCCTCTTCTCCGCCCCTCTGAGCTTGTAGAACACACCAGAGCTCGAGACCATCACAAGACTGGTTAAATATTGATGATCTGAGCTTTAAAACACTGCCATAAACTAACCCTACAGAGGGCACATCAGCCCGACTGCACACTACACTACACCAGCAGCTCCCTAAGTGTGGATTGGGACCCTGGAGGTTAATGGAACAGTGAGATGCAGGGGGGGGGGG